GGCCCAAGGTGCGCAAGTGCCAGCGCGACGGCACCTGGACGGCCATGGGCCACCCCAGCCGCTGCCGTGAGTGTCACCGGGGTCACCGCGGGGTCTTTGTCACCGTCTCGGGGGTGTTGTTGCCATTTTGTTGGCGATGTCGCCATTTTGTTGGCGTTTTCCATCCCGTAAATGTTCTCGTTACGTCAACGTTGATGTCCCCATTTTGTCACCATCCCATCAATGTCACCATTTTGTCACCATCCCATCATTGTCACCATCCCATCAATGTCACCATGCCATCAATATCACCATCATTGTCACCATCCCATCATTGTCACCATCATTCATTGTCACCATCCCATCATTGTCTCCATTTTGTCACCATCAATGCCACCATCATTGTCACCATCATTCATTGTCACCATCCCATCATTGTCACCATTTTGTCACCATCCCATCATTGTCACCATTAATGTCACCGTCAATGTCACCATCCCATCGATATCACCACCATTGTCACCATCCCATCATGGTCACCATCATTCATTGTCACCATCCCATCGTTGCCACCATCCCATCGTTGTCACCATTTTGTCACCATCCCATCCATCGTGGGGCCCAAGGTGCGCGAGTGCCAGCGCGACGGCACCTGGACGGCCATGGGCCACCCCAGCCGCTGCCGTGAGTGTCACCGGCGCCACCGCGGGGTCACCACGGGGTGTTTGTCACCGTCTTGTGGGTGGCGTTGTCGCCATTTTGGTGTTGTCGCCATTTTGGTGTTGTCGCCATTTTGTTGGCGTTTTCCATCCCGTAAATGTTCTCGTTACGTCAACGTTGATGTTCCCATTTTGTCACCATCCCATCGATGTCACCGTTTTGTCACCATCCCATCATTGCCGCCATTTTGTCACCATCCCATCAATGTCACCATCATTGTCACCATCCCATCGTTGTCACCATCGTTGTCACCATCCCATCATTGTCACCATTTTGTCACCATTGTCACCATCCCATCATTGTCACCATCCCATCAATGTCACCATTTTGTCACCATCAATGTCACCGTCAATGTCACCATCCCATCATTGTCACCATCATTGTCACCATCCCATCATTGTCNTGTCACCATCCCATCATTGTCACCATCATTGTCACCATCCCATCATTGTCGCCATTTTGTCACCATCACTGTCACCACCCCATCATTGTCACCATTTTGTCACCATCCCATCATTGTCACCATTTTGTCACCGTCATTGTCACCATCCCATCGTTGGCACCATCATTGTCACCATCTCGTCATTGTCACCATCTCATCAATGTCACCATTTTGTCACCATTAATGTCACTGTCAATGTCACCATCCCATCGATATCACCATCATTGTCACCATCCCATCATGGTCACCATCATTCATTGTCACCATCCCATCGTTGCCACCATCGTTGTCACCATCCCATCATTGTCACCATCCCATCGTTGTCACCATTTTGTCACCGTCCCATCCATCGTGGGGCCCAAGGTGCGCAAGTGCCAGCGCGACGGCACCTGGGCCACCCCAGCCGCTGCCGTGAGTGTCACCGGGGCCACCGCGGGGTCACCGCGGGGTCTTTGTCACCGTCTCGGGGGTGTTGTCGCCATTTTGTCGGTGTTGTCGCCATTTTGGTGTTGTCGCCATTTTGTTGGCGTTTTCCATCCCGTAAATGTTCTCGTTACGTCAACGTTGATGTCCCCAATTTGTCACCATCCCATCATTGTCGCCATTTTGTCACCATCCCATCATTGTCACCTCCCCATCATTGTCACCATCATTGTCACCATTTTGTCACCACCCCATCATTGTCACCATCAGTGTCACCATCCCATCATTGTCACCATCCCATCATTGTCTCCATTTTGTCACCATCCCATCAATGTCACCATCCCATCATTGTCACCATTTTGTCACCATCCCATCAATGTCACTGTCAATGTCACCATCCCATCATTGTCACCATCGATGTCACCATCCCAAACCCATTTTGGGATTCATTGATGCCAATTTTGGGGTCCTTGATGCCCAATTTGGGGCCATCACTCCAAACCCATTTTAGGGTCCCAGGTGCCCATTTTGGGGCCGCCACCCCAAACCCATTTTGGGCATTCATTGATGCCCATTTTGAGGTCACTGATGCCAATTTTGGGGTTACCACTCCAAACCCATTTTGGGGTTCATTGATGCCAATTTTGGGATCCATTGATGCCCATTTGGGTTCATTGATGCCCATTTTGGGGTCACAGGTGCCCATTTTGGGGCCACCACCCCAAACCCATTTTGGGATTCCTTGATGCCCATTTTGGGTTCATTGATGCCCATTTTGGGGTCACAGGTGCCCATTTTGGGGCCACCACCCCAAACCCACTTTGTTGTCACCAATGCCCATTTTGGTGTCACCACTCAATGCCCACTTTGTTGTCACCGATGCCAACTTTGATGTCCCTGATGCCCAATTTTGGTGTCACCAATGCCCAATTTTGATGTCACCGATGCCCAACTTTGATGTCACCGATGCCAACTTTGGGGTCCCTGATGCCCAATTTTGATGTCCCTGATGCCCAACTTTGATGTCACCGATGCCCAACTTTGATGTCACCGATGCCAACTTTGGGGTCCCTGATGCCCAACTTTGATGTCACCGATGCCCAACTTTGGTGTCCCTGATGCCCAACTTTGATGTCCCTGATGCCCAACTTTGATGTCACCAATGCCCAACTTTGATGTCACCGATGCCCAATTTTGGGGTCCCTGATGCCCAACTTTGATGTCACCAATGCCCAACTTTGATGTCACCGATGCCAATTTCGATGTCACCGATGCCCAACTTTGGGGTCCCTGATGCCCAACTTTGGGGTGTCCCCACAGTGCGCACGTGTCCCAAGAGCCACCTGAGCCTGGAGAACGGCCAGGTGGCCACGGGGGCCATGGAGCGAGTTCCGGTCGAGGGCAGCTGGGCCGAGTTCCGGTGCCAGCCGGGCTTCCGCCTGCAGGGCAGCGCCCGCAGCAACTGCAGCAAGAGCGGCCGCTGGAGCGAGCCCAAACCGCAGTGCCTGCGTCANCACCATCCCATCGTTGTCACCATTTTGTCACCATCCCATCCATCGTGGGGCCCAAGGTGCGCGAGTGCCAGCGCGACGGCACCTGGACGGCCATGGGCCACCCCAGCCGCTGCCGTGAGTGTCACCGGCGCCACCGCGGGGTCACCACGGGGTGTTTGTCACCGTCTTGTGGGTGGCGTTGTCGCCATTTTGGTGTTGTCGCCATTTTGGTGTTGTTGCCATTTTGTTGGCGTTTTCCATCCCGTAAATGTTCTCGTTACGTCAACGTTGATGTCCCCATTTTGTCACCATCCCATCACTGTCACCATTTTGTCACCGTCATTGTCACCATCCCGTCATTGTCACCATCCCGTCAATGTCACCATCGTCATCATCCCGTCGTTGTCACCATTTTGTCACCATCCCATCAATGTCACCATCCCATCATTGTCACCATCGATGTCACCATCCCAAACCCAATTTGGGATCCATTGATGCCAATTTTGGGGCCACCACCCCAAACCCGTTTTGTTGTCACCGATGCCCAACTTTGGTGTCACCGATTCCAACTTTGATGTCACCGATGCCAATTTTGATGTCACCGATGCCCAACTTTGGTGTCCCTGATGCCCAATTTTGATGTCACCGATGCCAACTTTGATGTCACCGATGCCCAATTTTGGTGTCCCTGATGCCCAACTTTGATGTCCCTGATGCCCAATTTTGGGGTCCCTGATGCCCAATTTTGATGTCACCGATGCCCAACTTTGATGTCACCAATGCCCAATTTTGATGTCACCGATGCCCAACTTTGATGTCACCGATGCCCAATTTTGGTGTCACCGATGCCCAATTTTGGGGTCCCTGATGCCCAACTTTGATGTCACCGATGCCAATTTTGATGTCCCTGATGCCCAACTTTGATGTCACCGATGCCCAATTTTGATGTCCCTGATGCCCAACTTTGGTGTCCCTGATGCCCAATTTTGATGTCCCTGATGCCCAACTTTGATGTCACCGATGCCAATTTCGATGTCACTGATGCCCAACTTTGATGTCACCGATGCCCAATTTTGGGGTCCCTGATGCCCAACTTTGATGTCACCGATGCCCAATTTTGATGTCCCTGATGCCCAACTTTGATGTCACCGATGCCCAACTTTGATGTCACCAATGCCCAACTTTGATGTCACCGATGCCCAACTTTGGGGTCCCTGATGCCCAATTTTGGGGTGTCCCCACAGTGCGCACGTGTCCCAAGAGCCACCTGAGCCTGGAGAACGGCCAGGTGGCCACGGGGGCCATGGAGCGAGTTCCGGTCGAGGGCAGCTGGGCCGAGTTCCGGTGCCAGCCGGGCTTCCGCCTGCAGGGCAGCGCCCGCAGC